CAAGTCTAGATATCAGTGCAGTAAGTGATTATAAATTTAAAATATTTCTTAATATAAATGTGGCTTTCCACCTACCAGAGGTCTTAAACAAAATCAAATTACTTAAAATGAGATTACAGCTATTTTTGGTTCCAAACAAGCACAACTTCACGCAGGAAGTAGCTTTACAGAGCCTTGCCAGACTCCCTTAATAAATCTTGGAAAAAAGTATCTTTAACCTAATGTTAAAAATACACAGGGGAAAATTAAACAATGTTCATAATCTCTATTCTTCATCAAAAATCATCATCTTTTGGGTTACTGTATCTTTTCAGGAGAATATAAAACTGCTAAAAAACATTTAAATCAGACATGGGAAATGAACAATTTATTCAAGTTAAAAACCTTTACTAATGAACACTGTATAATTTGTTCAGAACAAAATGACATAACGGTCAGTGGAAGCCAAAATCATCAGGAGGCTGGATTCAAAATCACACTGGAAAGCACAGGCTCATCCACGTTGTATCAGTTTCATCATCAGCAACTCATAATGTGACTCAAAAGTGTGCATGGCCCCACGTGCCTGTATGTACTCCCAACAACGTCTGGCCATGCTCCTGATGAGTTGGTGGATGGTGTCCCGGGGGATTACCTCCCAGACCTGGATCAGGGCATCACTGAGCTCCTGGACAGTTTGTGGTTGGTGCTTGATGGTATCAGATGCACCGACATCACTGCTATGTCATCCAGGAACTGCCTACAGGCCATTGTCCTGCACCAGGAGGAACCCAGGGCCCACTGCACTGGGGTAAGGTCTGACAGTTGCTCTGAGGATTTTATGCCAGTACCTCACAGCAGTCAGGAAACCATTGTCGCCAGTGGTTGACCTGCCAATTCTGGTGGTCTCTGGTGAATGCCAATTGAGCTGCATGGCGCTGGGCTGTGAGCACAGGTCGTACTAGAGGACGTTGGGCCCTCATACCACCCTCATGGAGTCAGAAACATGCACACCAGTAGCTGCTGGAGGTCATTTTGTAGGGCTGTCACAGTGCTCCTCCTGTTCCTTCTTGCCCAATAAACGTCCTGCTGGTGGGTTGTTGCCCTTCTATGGCCCAGTCCAGCTCTGCTCGTGTAACACCTGGTATCCTGGTATCTCCTCCATGCTCGAGACTGTGCTTGGAGACACAGCAAACCTTCTTGCGACTGCACGTATGGATGTGCCATTTTGGAGTACTGCCTCATGCTACAGGTAGTGACAAGGACACTAGCACAACACAAACCTTGGGAAGAATCAGTCAGGAAGGATCAAGATAGACCAGTCCCTTTTGGGGGGTTGTCTTGCTTTTACCTCTCCACTGCACCTGTTGTCACTTTCATTTGCACCAAAGCAGATGAAACTGATTCACAATCACCTGTGCTTCCTAAATTGACAGACTGATATCCCTGAAGTTTTACTGACTCAGTGTTCTACTGTGATGATTAAGTGTTCCATTAATTTTTTTTGAGCAGTTTGTCTCGTGTGTTTTCATGCCTTAATTAGAACTGCTGTTTGATCATATATGTGATACTGTTAGTCAATGATCAAAATGCCAAATGCAGATCTCTGTTCTGAGTTGAGCATTTAGTTGTACAACAGGCACAAAATGATAATTTTGTTCAGTGGACACAGTCTCCAGTCATGTGGAAGCAGAAGTGTGGGCCCTATTTTCCTGCCAGTGTAATTAGGCAGCATAGTGCAATTTCGATGCTTGTTTTGACCTGAAATAGTGATAATGATAACACCTGCTCAGACCACCTCTTAGCGCAATCACTGGTACATTTGCAATTTTCCCAGCAAGTGCACCGGCTGGGAAACACGAGATTGGGTACTCACATGTATTTTAATGGCCAGAACCTACTTAAAATGAACCCTTAAATCCACAACTGATCTGCTGGAATCCACTTTGAATAATTTGCTGTGTATCATGAAATATGTGTGATAATATGGAAAGATAATTTTAAAATAAGATAAATAAACTAATCCTCAGTATGTGTGTATAGATATGAATATAGTCAAACTGTGTCGGTGCGTGTCAGGACGCACCACCTGTAGCCTACTTACAGGATGCAGCCCGAGGTGATCTGCAGCCAGTGTTTGGGAATCCGAATGCACGTTAAAAAATTACACATACTAACACATGAAATCAGCTTATGAGCAGAGATAAACAACAACCACCCTGCAGACATCTCCGTTAATCCTGTTATGCAGTAAAGTCAGTCCGACCTCACTGTGGCTGTTGTCACTGTTACGCTACAGTTTCTTCAAATGAACAAGTTTCACACAGACAAACCTTCAATATATGATGCATTGATCAGCTTTGAAAGTAGCTGTAGGCAGAAAGTGAACAGGTGATGGTGAACCATCAGTTTCACCACAAACAGTGACAAACAGTGATTACAATATGATATTATTTTATTTTGAAAACAGTGAACTATTCACAAGGTTACATGTGAGTCCCATGTGGATTTCATGCACTGGATGCATCTGTGGGTAAATTACGCTATATAATTGATGCTTGTTACAAAATCAGAGACTTTCTATCTTCCATGCACAAACACTAGTCAGTGATATTAGCAGACTGCTGAGTGAATATTTATGTGCAGTACTTCTGTATAAATATTTTTGCCACTGTCAATTCAGGAATGGAGAACATAACGGGCAGAATAAGAATCTCTCCTTTCATATTTCCACGTCCTGACATCAGTGACAGTCAGTCAGTCACATTTCCTCTCTGCTCCTTCAAGGGGATGAGAACAGTTCCTTTGATTGGACAGAACTAAAGCCCCGACTCCATCTGCTCATGATGTATTCCTAATAACATATTCTGCCTCTCCTCCACAATGCACCCGTTAACACCTGCCTGTGCACAAAAGTGTGCTGCTTCTGTGGTCACCAAAACTACAAAATACCACTGAATATGCCCAAATTAATCTTGAACCTGGAGTTTAGACACAAGTTTAACGCTACACCCTGTTGCAGGAAAATAGAGCCCTTTGATTTTGTGCATGAGTAAATAGTATATACACATGCATTTGTACTTATTTTACATGCATGTGTATAGGCCTATATTTCTTATTGTTTACCTAAACATAGAAATAATTCGCAGATGATCCGCAAATGTAGATAATATTCAGTTGAGTACTTTGAAAACAAAGACAATCCTAACACCAAATGACCAATGCTAGTTCCCCTGTGGCATGTTCTCATCTGAATATCACACAATAAGATGGCCTTCTTTGGTTTTTACAAGATTATCTGTCTGACATTTCTGGTTCATTCTAACAGTGCACAGGACAGAACATTTATGAACCATTTTATACCATTTTCTGCTGTTATGTCTGTAACATCACATTGTTGTATTAGACTTTAAATTTTATCAAACTGCCTGTGAGCATACAGCAGTACTGTGGCTGACCCAGAGTAGACACTAGATGTGCAGTTAGCCACTGAAATAAACCATTTAAAAATGCTACTAATATTTTCACAGTATAATCTATACATCGTCATCTCCCATCCATCATCTATACCACTTATTCCTGAACAGGGCTGACACTTAGACACACTCCTAAGGCAAGTTAGAGTCACCACTACGATGCATGTCTTTGGAATGTGGGAGGAAGCTGGAGTACCCGGAGAGAACCCACACAGGCACAGGGGGAATATGCAAACTCCACACCGAGAGACACTGGGTCAGCCCAGGCTCAAATCTGGAATCTTCTTGCTGTGAGGCAACAGTGCAAACCACTACTCCACCACATCATCCAATGTGGAATATCTGTCAGACTAGGGAAAGCATAAAAAGGGGGGTGGGGGTCTTTCCCCAAAGGGATTTCACTACAGTAAGCAGAGTTATATAGTTATCTAATGGGTCTTTATGGGGATAAAATCCTCTCATAACTCAAAGATCACAGGTTACTTTGTTATCCCCAAGCTGCAAGTTACCCCACAGCCAGCAGTACACATCAGCATACACAAGGAGAAACAAACTAACAATACACACTCTTGATATACTGAACCACTTAGAAGTCAAAGCCACTGGAAGCATAGAACTTTTGAACCTTTTAGTTCTATACTTAGGCAAAATATGGACTTTTGGGGGAAAGATTACCTTCTCAGCAACATCTCTGGGCAGGAATTTGTTTTTTTATGTTGTCACAACATCGTATCGCCACAATTAACTACACTGAGTGCAGGGCTACTCAGTGTAGTGTAGACACAAAAAGATTACAAATTAAAGTACCCACACACGGGGTAAAATGCTGTTTCATGTCAGACTTCCAGAACAGCTTCAGCGCTCCTTGTCAGCAATTCTTCAAGTGTGTGAAACTGGAGGGATTCATCCAAAACATATTCATTGGTGTTTTAATGATGGTGGTGGAGAGTGCTGTGTAATATGTCATGTCAAAATCTCCCACAGGTGTTCTGTTGGGTTGAGATCTGGTGACTGTGAAGGTCATAGCATTTGATACACAGTACATCATTTTAATCCTCACAAGACCATTCGGTGAATCCTTTCAGTGATGAAGTAGCCTACTATCATCCTGAAAAGAATTCCCACTAGTAAAGATACGCCCCCCACAGTGTCAGAGTTATCAGACCCCTTCACTGCAGGGGCCAAACATTCAAGCCTGTGCAGTGGGTGCACATCAAACATGCACTATTACTATTTGTTGAGAATATGATGAACAATGACTGAACTGACAATTTTTAGACATTTGTGCAGAGTGCTTATGAGTTTTGCGCTACTGAACCTATATATGCATTTGTTACTAACACTGACAAAATCGCCTTTCAGCAGATTCAGCTGAAATACAGAAAGTGCTTAAAATTCACAAAAGCCACAAAAATTAAGAGGCCCATGGTCCAGAGCTATATTTTTTATCCTTGTGACCCTGATATAAATGTTTGGACACCCCTGTGTTAAGGGACAAATATACACGTACAAACACATTCAGACTAAACATCCATTCATGTCTACCTGTGCTGCTCTGGATGGTTCTGACGGTGGTGGCAGAGGTGCGTGGTGGGGAGGATGGCAGCAGGAGCAGCGGTCTCCCTCCTTCACCCTCCTCCTCCCCAGCACAGCCTTGGTCAATCGCCCTCACATAGCTGTGGCTCCGCATCCGGAAGCATCCCGGCATAGGCAGGGTGTCCATGGTGTCCATGCTGTCCATGGCAGCCTCCATGGCCTGGGACTGCAACTGGCTGTAGACCTGCTCACAGACCTGCTCGATCTGCCCGTTCACCTCCAACTCACTGAGCTGGAGGAGGAGAGCATACCGGAGGAGGCAGAGAGAGAAGAGACAGAGGAACCGGTGAATAAGATGAGCACTGAAGAAAGTTCCAGACTATTATGGTTCCAAAGGTACACTCTTGTTAGTCAAAGATTAGGCTGCAAAAGAGAATGCAAGTCAGAAATGCACTAATGAGGGCTTTCTTGCTAATGACTGCTGGATTCCTTGCTGCACTTTCTAGCTCCATGTATACTGGCACTTTGCACATGGTCTGTACAAACCCTTTTTCATTTTCAGATGCCATAGTGTATGCAGGCTTTGACTCACTGAGGTTTTGCTCTATTCACAGATACAAAGATAAATCCATGGGACAGGGACAGCTGCACATTCATCATCATTGGAAGCCAGGCATTGCTACTCAGTAGGAGACAAAGACACATGGAGCCCAGTGATGCAACAGCACAGAGTTGAGGAATATACTATATAATATACTGTGACAAGGTTCAGCGACAGCCGGGCAAGAGCCAGTTGGGACCATCTTAACTCCAGTGGTAATGGAAGCAAAGAGTTTTCTGCCCCAAAGTAAGAAGACAACAAACTTGTACAACCCATCTGTTATCCAGCCCAGTTGGTCATTTGTCCCTTCCCTCTCATACGACCCATAAGAGCATCTCTTGAAATAACAGTTCTCCACTGGCAGGCAAAATTTCAAGAACTCTATGAACATTAAAAAAAATGTACATCGCATCAGCAAGCTTCCATCATCTTGAACAGCAAGTGTAGTAGAACTCCTTTGTCATGGAAACTGTCAAGAACATGTCATTAAGATTATGAAACTATCACACTTTGGTGGCTTAGAGTTTTGCTGCTGCTTTCAGGCTGTAAAACAAAATGTGAATGTTTTGAAAGGGCATAATTCTTTTCTATACCCACTGCTACATTCCATTTTTTGTGGCTTTTCTGTTTGCCAAAACCTTTTAACTTGATTGTGCTTGGTTTATTAGAGGTTATACAGTATAGCTGGTGTGTACTGTTGTTGTACTTGTGGCTCAGAACAGCTCACTCCCAACTAAATGCTCCTGAGTGCAACTCAACAAGCCAAGAGGCTTAATGATTCCAAAAAATATTTGATCACCCATACCGGGACCTTTGGCCTTACATTTGGTGCTGATTTCAGACTTCTGCACTGAAGCAATGTCTTTCACCTCAACAAAGCCATTGGGCTCTATTTTCCTGATAGGTTACATAGGCCAGTGTATTTCACCTGCAGTCATAAGAATACAAAACACAAGAATATAAAACAATATTTCCTGAATAAGATGACAGTTCAAGCCCCTCTCAAACTGTCTGGACATCACAAAGCCTCAGACTGAACTTTGCATGGAATGTAGAAGGTGGGTTAACTCATGACTGGAGGTGAATGTATCTTGCACACATTGGCAAAATATTTGTCTTTTTAACAAAAACATATAAATAAATAAATTTTAAAAACAGTACTCACATCTTTAAACAAATACAAAGTGAGGTTTGAAGATTTGTTCTGAAAAACTCACACGTTCTATTACTGTTCAGACCTGGGGTTGGAAGACTGAATTAATGAATGAAGGTACCATGGTGTGTTGGCTGTGCTTAAGGTGAGCAAGATTTCAAAGAGGCTTGATCTTCTGCCACCCAGTTGGTCTGAGCAGGAAGAAACATGAGAACATAATCCACTGAAAATATACTGTACATGGTGCTTCTGCCTACGCAAGAGTTATTTTTAATTTATTCATTGTTATATGGTTTCTCTGTGGCTTCTGAGCCTTCTGCCTGCAATGTCCAGCTCTAAGCCTGATTACAGGTCATGTTTTACAGTAACGGGTCGTATCGGAATCAACTGCAGGTAACACCCGAGTCATTCACTGTGTGGTAGCTGGAGTGTGTGTATGACAGCCGAACTATTCAAAATCATTTTGCTGCTAAACTTGGAAGCTTTCCTGTCTGTTTAGAAAAACACAGATCATTATTTACCTTTGGACACTGTCAGGAAATGTAAATAACTAATGAGGTTGCTGCTGCTGTGCCTTCATAATATTG